CAGCTTTTTTTAAAAAAATAAGTATAATGCCCAAAGTATCCAAAGAAAAGGTTTATATACTATCTATTTATTTATTATTACAATTATATATTACTATTTATTATTTATATATTAAACTTTTTTAGAAATGATTTACATATATGAAGCCTATGCCAGAAGAAATTATATTATTACAAAAAAAGTCTGTAGTAGAAAACACACATAAATCTACTTTGAATTAGACAAACTAGTTTAAGAACTATCGTAAAGATACAAACCTTCCTGGTGAATTATCAGATATTTCAAACCCAAAGCAACTTGAAGAAGAGCTTTGTAAATATTTTACTGTATGTCGTAAAACTAATGGTGATGAATATTCTGTTGCATCTCTTCAATATGCAATTAATGCATTAAACTGGTATTTTAATAGTGAAACAAGCAAATTAAAACTGATTGACCTAAATGATAAAAAGGCACACCCTGATCTTTGGCGTATATTGAATGGAAAAATTAAAATGTTGTCTGCAAGTGGGTATAGAGAATCAAATAGATCTGACACCTTAACAATTGATGAAGTTCAACAAATTCTATCACATTCTCAAATATCAAAACATAATCCCAAAGGATTGCTAAATAGAGTTTTCTTTTTTAATGTACTTTGTCTTGGTCTACGTGGTGGAGAACACTTTTTATTAGAACTTGTTTCTTTTAAAAAAAAAGACACTGGTAGTTATGAAGTTAAACTTTTCTGATCAAAAACCAACCAAAGAAGTCTCAAAAGTTCTGGTGTTGCAGAAACATTTTCTATTTCACCAATATTTGATATTGTTGAATCATATAATACATATATAGCTAAACGTCTACCTAATGCTAACTCTCAATTCTATCTTTATCTGATTAAAAAAAATCATAGTAAGTAAATAATTACCGTATTTATTAGTGATTAATAAATAAATAGATAGTATATAAACCTTTTCTTTGGATACTTTGGGCATTATACTTATTTTTTTAAAAAAAGCTG